AAAATTGGTATAACATTTACTTACAAATGATTTGAGGTTTGGTTTGGTTTTCGAAACTTATTCATGCTGTCAGGGCGACCTAATTGAATGTATTTAAACCAGATTCATCTGCAATAGTATTCCTGATAATTTCCAACGTCGGAACGTGAAATTGGTACAAAAAACGAGAAAAACATTCTTATAAAGTGTTAACACAATAAATCAGGCATTCCTTTTAATTCCGCAATGGTGGTCTCCACAATTAAGCTAATCAAAACTTGCATACTGATGACTCCGAAACATAAACTGGTACTAGCAAATTGAAAAAAAACGTGATAGGATTTTAGAATTTTCCTAACATTATTATTATTTATCCAAATCGAGGCAATAATGTAACATCCGTACACGAATTTCGAGAAGGTTTCCTCAGAAACAGTGGTTGCGCTACCTGCTCGTAAAAAACTATGGAAACGTCTTCGGAGAAAAAGTTAGATAGACGAAAAATTGTTCATCTGCCGTATTCGCTTGATCCAGTCAAGTCTACGGATGGCATTTAGACTCTTTGGCGTGTTCTCGGAATCCTGACTTCTCGTCGATAGCGCGCTAGAGGGTTTCAGCACTTCCTTTCGTGAATAGACTTGATTCATCTACTGTCAACCATTAAATCACTTTAGGCGAGCTAGGCTGATTTATGTTTTGGTTCAAGAATTACCGATAGTTTCTAGACATCCTCGCAAAAACTACAAGAAGTTGGTTTCACTACGTTCATGAAAATCAGTCGAGACCAATTTCAAAAGAGGAGAAATTGAAAGACAACAAAAGGATAGTCCAATTTCTGCCTACGCAAAGCTCCCTTCTGAGCATGAATACTTACATAAATGGTTATTTGCACCACAAGAGGAGAAATTATAGCAACTTTGTCTCAAGAACAGACCCATCATTTATGTTGATTTGATTGCAAGAATCAGTGAAGAATAAAAGTTTTAGTTAGATGATCATAGAAACCGCAACGTCAGAGGGATAAGCAGTACAATATCTCAACTCCCTGTATTTGAAAATGCGGAGGCTTAATGGAGGATAGATGGTCATAAAGACTCCCAAGGATTCCTTAAATAGCCAAAGATGTTTACATTTTTGGCGTCATTACCCGGCAGTCCTTGAATTATAAATAAATGAAACAAAGCTGTCTTAAGCACGATATTCGTCGATAATTGGTTACATTATAAGCCTCTGCTAACTTTCCAAGAGCTTATTGCCGTAGCCCTCGTCTTTTAAGAAGGACCTACTTCAAAAGGGAAAAACAAAAAGTTGACCTTGTATGTATGGAAACCAAAAAGGTGTGATTTATATCATGGTCCGATGCTTGGAATCAGCATGATAACTACGTCAGAGGACGCTGGAATAGGCATTTTATTTAAAGTCACTTCAACATCCTGACCAAGTTTCAAAAACGAGGTTAGACAAATTCTACCAAAAATAGAAAGTTATCAAGCAAAACTACAATATTTGAGGCCAGGATGGAAATGATAGGTATGAGAAAACTTTTATATAAAAACGATCGCATCAGCAACTTCGAAACCTCAAAAATGTAGGATGGAAGATCGAATTAAATTACCTCCAGTTTATGTTTCGTTTGCTTTGCATGGGTAGATAAGGCTTTTTCAACATAGGGAATAAAGTGGATAATTTTCTTATGCCAAAGCAGAGTTGAAGAAGTATGAGCTACAAGACGACAAAGAAATGTTTGGCAGAAGGTCTGAGTATCATTAGGCTATGATTAATGCTTTACACAAGCTGTCTCACCTATCATGTGACGGTTTAAACGAAACTATCTAAATCGTAGGATCTTCTGATCGTCAAACAAGATCACATCCAGACATTCCAACCTGAGAATGGCATTCTTAAGCATTATAACTAAGTGAACCTAAAAAAAGTAGGCCTTATCTCATCCAAGCTGGGCTGCCGGCTCTTTTCAACACCGCCAACGGGATTCGAACCCGGGCCATGAGTACTGTTGCAAGATTACTTCAGCACTCAGCTCCAGGTCAGATGCTACAATCAAGGTAAGCCAGGCCCCTCGTAGCTCACATTTATAGTGGGATTGTCGATTAAACAAGCATGATTTTGCCATTGCAACCAATAATGCTACTTATTTGCGATATGAGTAGTTTTCCAAACCTAGGTGAGGTCGAAACTGAATTTCAGTCCAGGCTGGATATGATAACTTTTTGAAAGGCAAAGACGAGTAGAATGGTATTTTGAGATCCAATCTTCTCCTTGTCGAAAAAATCAATTATCACTCCTTAAATCACTCTGTTTAAGCTGGGCTGACCAAGTACATATTCAAGAATAACTGATGGTCTCGAAAAATATTCACATCAAACATTCTTAAGAGTTGTGCGCGCAAATTCATACGCAAGCACATTTTCAGACATCTCCGATTGCGTTAACTTTTGCTGGGAGTGTCTTGATGCCTTGAAACACTCTTGGAGTCTGTCTTAGATACACGCTTGAGGCATATTGAAAACCGCATATGCCTGGGCAATTAAGTTGCAGGAACAAATCTGGAAGGTAAATGGGACAGAATAAACACTGCAAGTGTCCATTTCCAAACAATTAATCGACTGCTCGAAATCCACTTGATGACGACCATTTACAAGATTAACTTGTCGGACTGTTGGGGGCATCAAGAGCTGTACTTTTCTCTGGGTGCATATTTGAGGATGGCACAACGGCCTCGAGTGGTCCAAAAAAAGGGGAGGAGTACCCTTGGCCTGCGACGATGCCTGAACGGGCATCTCAAGACTGTCGGCAAATAGGGAACAGCGGACCAATGTTGGAGTTGGTACTGCCCCGTGCCCCGTGCCGGTTGCGTGCTGACTCTTTGAGCACGGATCCAGCACACGCTTGGTGACAGTTCCTAGAAGGCCATCCTCACTTCTTTTGCCCTTCCCAACCAGCATGCTTCGTTAAGACCCAAATGTAGACTCAACTGAGGTCTCCATGATGGCACCGAGCATTCGAAGTGGCATCTTCGTGCCTCGTTCATTGGTAGACTGTCTGAGGAGTGAACGCCTGGACGAGTCATGCCGAAACTCATGGCAGCATGAGCATTCTTGAAATCATGTCTTGTGTCAAACAACCTTGCCAAATGGAAGGAATGGCTCAAAATCAAGTTTGTATTCGGTTCAGCATCAACCTTTACATTCTTCCTAAAGGCAAAATGTATCGGTTCGTAAATGGGAAAGCGAAGATGGTTTGGCCTTTGCTTTGATTGCAGTCTCTTTTGGCTTTACATTGTTGGTCTGACATCATTATCATTACTTGGCCGGGGCAACAGAGTGGCCTTGTGAAGCGTGCCTAGTCTTGTGTATTCTGTCATAGCATTCGTTTTGATTTTCAGTCTTGAGCCGTTGATTCGGTACATTCTTAGATGTTTCATCGGCACCGTAGTTGGCATCGGTGGCTCCACTTAATCCACTTGAAGCGACACACTCTTCGGTGACACATAATAGTATTAATAGGTAAATAGACGACAGGAAATATGGCAGAGAGAAAGAGGTGCAGCACTAAAAGTTAGGACATAAAATAGGGGCGAGGAGTGATGCCACAACGGTTGAATAGAAAATTCGCAAAGGTACTTTCTTTGAGTTGACACTTTGATGCGTTTTAACTTTGGGCTAAGGACTATGATGCCGATAAAACGTCTGTGAATGTACCGAATCAACGGTCAGATGCTGGAAGTCATTATGAATACGTTTCATAGGGTCTTCTGGCCGCTACGAAAACGAGGCCAAACCAACACTAAAACGTGTTGGTGCTACGCTGCATCAAGTTGAATTCGTATTGCTGACGCAGAACGTGTGAGGTCGACTTGCAGGGATGCTGGCCGATAGAACATGAAGAAATTTAGATTTTACGAAGGCTTCGAGAACTATAATTCTACACTGAAAAGAGCAGTGAGCAGTAATACGTTGACACCATCCTGCAGTTTCCACTCAGTGGCAATCATCCTATTTCGGTCTCCAATAAGGCCGATCTACAAAACCCTTTCAGACATCTGTTCAGTCACTGCAAGTCTGCAAAGGTCATTCAGTCAAAGAAGGCAGATAAAAGCACCAGACAGACTAAATTTTCTGAGCTCACTTTAGAGCAGTTGGTAGGTCCTTGCGTCAAGGGCTTTTGTTCAATTAGACTTCGCAAGCAGCTCTCGGTGACTGGCCGAACAAATTGAATTCTGACCCAGCCTGTTGAGTTTGGCACTAAAAATTGACTTCTTAAGGATGTGGCATAATTCTATTGAGTAGAAAATTCACATTCTATCCTGAGAGAAAGGGTCAGGTGTCACTGGAATTCGCATTTCGGTTTTCGATGCTGACAATTTAAGATTTTTTTCTTTTAAGTAGAGTTTCGAGGCTATGCAAGATCAAATGGAAACGTGAGACCTACTCATATGCTTTTGGTTAAAAATATTATTAAAAGTCCTTCCTCATCTTAAACCAAATGGGGAGAACATAGTTTTGTACACAAGTTAGGAATGCTTACCAACCAAGTTTTTCTTCGAACTGGAAAGTAAAGTAACATGGAGTTTTGAAGGCACTCTGGGAAACCAAAGCGTTATGCGAAAGCCTCTTGCATCAAGAATGCTAGTTCGTGTATCGTGTACTCTGGCTGAGTCGAGTAAAGGCATTAATACACATACACATACGCTCAAATATAAGTACCTTGTTTACTATGGAAGAGGACTAACCCATACCTTCTCTATCCATCTATGTCTATATATTTTTGCTTTATGTTATAATTACGCAACATTTATATAACAATGTAGTAAATAATAAAAATTATAATGTAATTAATAATTTGATATATAGAGAGAGTATAGGATAGAGCTGGATATTATTCATGATTTGTGGCTAACTTAAAGCTTTTGCAAGAGTGAGTAACAGCTCTGACGATATCTCAACAAAGCTCAGCCCATTTCTTCCCAAATGTGAGAGGAGGTGTTCCGGACTGCGACAACTTGATCATCATATTAAAGCCGAAAAGCTTCAGAACAGCTGGGATCTGTCGTCGTCTTCCGGAATCATCTACCTAGAAATCGCTTAATCATGCATTGTCATGCGAAATAAATTTTTCCACAGAAGGGTTGTAATCTAGTCCATTCAGGAGGCAAAGTTAAGGCATCTTTGGTTGCTTCTAATATACAAGTTTTGCTAAAGTGATACGAGTGGACTTCGCAATACTATTTAACTTAACTTTGCATTGTCGACCTAAAGGCCTTCTTCTACTGGCTGGACTGCAGTTTCCACCTTAACTGATTCCAACCATCATCCCAAATGGGACTCAAAACTGGGTCTTGATTATCGCGATGAATTGCCCCCATTCACAGGCAAGCTAGGCCCCTTTAAACGACATTATAGTTGGATTGTCGATCAAGCAAATCTAAATTTACTATTAAAAGCGACAGCATTACTTGTACTCTCGAAATAAGTGGCAATTTTTTAATAAGATCCTGGCCCACCAATAGCACTAAAGGTGATTCACTGATTAATATGTTCCAAACGTATTCCCTCATCACGATTGGACTGCAGCTCCGACTCCGCTTTATCGCCCTATCAGCACCACTAACACGATGCGAAACTTGGTCGTGAAGTCATTGGAATCGTGAGACCTACACAAATCATTGTGGTGAAAAATTTACAATCAGTTTATAAATCACCTAAAGCAACAAATTCAAGAAGTAACTACACTTTTCAGCTATATTAGTATTAAATTTGTTAAAAAACTACCAGCAGATCCCGAATAAGAGCTTGATTCATCCTGGGTTGCATAAAGTGATAAATGACTAACAATTGAATTTTCCCAATTTGCAGATATATTTTCCTACGAAAAAATGTCTAGGTTTATCTGTCAACGTGCCTCTGTAGAGTGGGCGACAGCATATGCACAATAAAACTGGATCCCAGTCCGTTTGAAGATCCTCTACTATCTCTTAAGTTGCACCGTTTGAGAATTAATTTACTCTGCAACTATTCGAAACTTCAACAGAAGAGGCATATATAAGTTCACCTTAATGCCAAAGAGTCAGTTATTTATTGAGAAGAAAAGTTTGGCTTCGATGAATTTCCTGACTTATAATTATTGTGCTTACTTTCATTCCGAATGAAAGTGTTTGGTGAGAGACGTAAACTTTCACTGGAATTAAAAGATATTGCCTCGGAAGCAGCATCAACAAGAATGATCCAGTAAAGCAAAACAAAATCTAGCTAAAAGTAGTTTGCCGTTGTCTTCTGGTGGGATAGACTTTCGAATCTTTTAACTAAACATTTGCACTTTAAGTGGAAGTGAGCCGAACAGCTATTTTTTCGACGTTTCACCGATCGAAGATTCTATCTCAGTCACTATCTTAGATGTAAATCTTACAGAATATTTCTACTGTAAAAGGTAGATCACGGTATTAAAGCAGTCCAAAGTCCAATTGCTGACAACATTTTCCTGCTTTAGGAGACCATGCAAACAAACTGAGTAGAATAACTTCAAATATTTGGTGTCTAGTGTGTAAAAATTAATCACCCTAGACCGAATATTAGCAAATAGTGGGTTTATGGTTAAGGCAAAACTAGGAATTAGATAATCCCAGTTTACCTGCAATCCAATTAAAAATTCGGATGAAAAAAATTGCATACTATACTATATTATACTATTATAATATATTATGTTTTAGTATACTATACTTTACTTTACTTTATTTTACTTTACTTTACTTTACTTTACTTTACTTTACTTTATTTTACTTTACTTTACTTTACTTTATTTTACTTTACTTTATTTTACTTTACTTTATTTTACTTTACTTTATTTTACTTTAC